GGCTGGAGCTGTGCCAATCCGAAGCCAGGAGCCAGGAGCTTCTTCCAGGTCTCCCATGTGGGTGCAGGGGCCCAAGGACTTGGACCATCTTCTAATGCTTTCCCAGGCCATAGCAGAGAGTTGGATTGGAAGAGGAGCAGCCAGGACTAGAACCGGCACCCATATGGGATGCCGGTGCTTTAGGCCAGGGCGTTAACCCACTGTGCCACAGCGCCGGCCCTGGAATCATATAGTATTTTGGGACCAGCACCCAGGCACTCTGATATGGGACACAGGCAACTTACCCACTATGCTAAATGACCAGTCCTGATTTTCATTACACACAAAAGCAGTTCAAGGAGGGAATGAGAGTTTTTTTCAACATACAGTGCTAGATCATTTGAACATCCATAGATTAAAAAATCAAAACTTGGGGCTGGCGTGGCATACTGTATGAGCATCGGTTTGAGTCCCTGTCCTTGTTAATGTGCCTGGGAAGGCAGCAGAAGATGGTCTGAGTATCTGTGCCCTTTCCACCCATGTGGGAGACCCAGATGGAGTTCCAGGTTACCGGCTTTGGCCTGGCCCAGCTCCGGCCATTGCTGCCATTTGGGGAGTGAACTGGTAGACAGAAATTCTCTCTCTCTCTGTCTGTCCCTCTCTCTCTGTAACTCTGCCTTTCAAATAAATAAATCTTTTTAAATAAATTAAAAAAACTTGATCTATAAATAAAATCAGAAGTTAAAAACAAATCCAACACAACCATCCCATGTTATCAGCCAACCGATAATGGCTCTCACACAGCTGAGACAGGGACTAGTTAGGTGGAAGAGCAGAGGGATTCTGCACTCCCGGGCCAAACAGTACCAAGAGCCTGATGGGAAGACACCTGGGGTCTCACCAGCTGCTTCACCCGGCGTGGGATCCTGGAGTTCCCAGCAGACTGTTTTTCAGATGGAGTTTTGTGATTTTTTTCATGCTACAATATGTGTACAGAAACACATGCACACCATGTTAAAATCTATTTGATTGCGGCCGGCGCCGCGGCTCACTAGGCTAATCCTCCGCCTAGCGGCGCCGGCACACTGGGTTCTAGTCCCGGTCGGGGCGCCGGATTCTGTCCCGGTTGCCCCTCTTCCAGGCCAGCTCTCTGCTGTGGCCCGGGAGTGCAGTGGAGGATGGCCCAGGTGCTTGGGCCCTGCACCCCATGGGAGACCAGGAAAAGCACCTGGCTCCTGGCTCCTGCCACCGGATCAGCGCGGTGCGCCGGCTGCAGCGCGCTGGCCGCGGCGGCCATTGGAGGGTGAACCAACGGCAAAGGAAGACCTTTCTCTCTGTCTCTCTCTCTCTCTCTGTCCACTCTGCCTGTCAAAAAAAAAAAAAAAAATCAAAATCTATTTGATTGCATTGAGCTCCAAGGATCATGCTTTTAAAAAGATTTATTTATGTGAAAGGCAGAGAGACGAGACAGAGAGAGGGAGATAGACAGACAAGACACAGATCTTGGGGCTGGCGCTGTGACGTAGCAGGTAAAGCCGCCACCTGCAAATGCTGGCATCCCATATGGGCGCCGGTTCGAGTCCCAGCTGCACCACTTCTGATCCATCTCTCTGCCATGGCCTAGGGAAAGCAGCAGAAGATGGCCCAAGTCCTTGGGTCCCTACAGCCACGTGGGAGACCAGGAAGAAGCTTCTGGCTCCTGGCTTCGGATCAGCCCAGCTCTGGCTGTGCAGCCAACTGGGGAGTGAACCAGCAAATGGAAAACATTTCTCTCTCTCTCTCTCTCTCTGCCTCTCTGCCTCTCTATAACTCTGCCTTTCAAATAAATAAATCTTAAAAAGAGAGAGAGAGAGAAAGACAGATCTTTCATCTGCTGGTTCACTCTCAAAATGCCACAGTGGCCAGGGCTGGGCCAGGCTGAAGTCAGGAGCCAGGAACTCCATCAGGGTCTCCCAAGCGGGTGGCAGGGACTCGAGTATTAGAGCCATTATCCATTGCCTCCCAGGAATATTAGCAGGGAGCTGGATGGGAAGTGGGGTAGCCGGGGCCTAACTGAGGCCAAGATTCAAACCAGCACCCTGATATGGCATATGGGTGTTCCAAGCAGCAGCTTAACCTGCTGTACCACAACAAGTATAATTAAACCTGTCAACCTATTCTGGTTATTTTTTTTTTCTCATCTTAAGTATTTTATCAGCTAACTGAGGCAAAAGCACATGATGTGCTCCCTGAACCCTGCTCTTTCAGCCACTGAAAACAATTTTAATCCAATTATTAATTAGACTGTTCTTGATTAGAAAGATGCAATGGGGTGGGGACAGGCTAAGTGGCCTATGTCACCAACACCCCAGATTGGAGCACTGGTTCCAGTCTTGGCTGGAAATCAAAGGATACTGGGAATACAGAGGAAAGAGGGAGATTGAGAGAGACAGACAGAGAGGTCTCCCACCCACTGGTTCACTTCAGAGCTGGGCCAATCTCAGCCACATTAGCAGGGAACTGGATTGGAAGTGGAGCAGCCAGGACTCAAATTGGCGCCCACATGAAATTTCAAAGAGGGGCAACTGGGGCAGAATCCGATGCCCCAACCGGGCCTAGAACCCAGTGTGCCGGCGCCTCAGGCAGAGGATTAGCCTATTGAGCCGCGGCGCCGGCCTAGCTATCAGAATTTCTAGCAAGAGTCTGATACACTTAAGATCAGCAAATTTTTATTGGCCTAAAACAAGGGTAGGGAATGTCTGGCCTGTAGGCCATATATAGCCAGTGAAATCATTTGGTCTGGCTCTGCCAAGGCAACCAAAGGTGGGACTCGAAATCCAATAAATCTGGGGGCAGGAGTTGAGACCCAGATGCAATGCACCATCTCATATGAGCTCCTGTTCAAGTCCTGGCTGCTCTGCTTCTGACCCAGCTCCCTGCTAATGTGCTTGGGAAAGCGGAGGACAATGGCCAAAGTGTTTGGGCCCCTGCACCCACATAGGAACCCAGATGGAGTTCTGGGCATCTGGCTTCTGCCAGTGGATTGAGGATCTCTCTTTATCTTTCTCTATCTTTGTAACTGTACCTTCCAAATAAGCAAACGTCTTTAAAATTTCAATAAATCTATTGCAGGCTAATTTTTTAAAAAGGCTTATTTATTTATTTATTCTGAAAGTCAGAATGACAGAGAAGAGAGGCATCTTCCATTTGCTGGTTCACTCCCCCAGATAGCTGCAACAGCCAATGCTGGGCCAGGCTGAAGCCAGGAGCTTCATCTGGGTCTCTCACCTGGGTAGAAGGGGCCCAAAGGGTTGCCATTTTCTGTTGCTTCTCCCAGGCCATTAGCAGGGAGTTGGATCAGAAGTGGAGCACCTGGGACAGGAACTGGAGCCCATATTGGACGTTGGTGCCACAGGCGGAGGCTTAGCCTACTGTAATGCCACAGCACTGGCCCCAGCAGGCTAATTTTTAAGTTGAGAATTTTTTATATGGCCCATGAATAATGCTATAAATATTGAAATGGCCTGTGGCAGAAAAAAGTACCCCACCCCTGCTTTAAAATGACAGTATGGGTCAGGAAACGCTGGCTTTTTAAATTCATAGGGAATTTGCAGAAGATCAGTGAAGTCTTGACTGGCTCAGGGAACTCAGGAGAGGAAATGCAAAGCCACAGTCCTGGCCAGAGGGGGTTTACATGCTTCTCTACTGTGAAATCCTTTTCTGTTGTTGTGGAATAACAGGAATCACTCCCAGGTGGGCTCACCACCTTTCCCAGGGAGGAGCCTTATATCTGCAACAAGATGATCCTGTCTATGTGTTATGTTTCCCACATTCTATGGAAGTAATAAAGAAATACAGAATTGCAAATATTTTAAAAATTGGCAGTGTAAAAAATGTCTTTTAGTCACCACCAATAGACAAGCACAACTTCGCATATACAGCATTCTTAACAGTTTAAAACATGCATAGAAATAAAAATTCAGAGAATTCACTTCAAGTGCTATTAGGAGTCTTTTTTTAGTCTAACATTACATTTTTTTTAAAGATTTATTTTATTTGAAAGGCAGAGTTACAGAGAGGGAGAGACAGAGAGAGAGGTCTTCCATCCACTGGTTTACTCCCCAAATGGCCACAACGGCCAGAGCTGAGCAGATCCGAAGCCAGGAGCCAGGAGCCAGGAGCTTCTTCCAGGTCTCCCACGCAGGTGCAGGGGTCAAGGCACTTGGGCCATCCTATACTGCTTTTCCAGACCATAGCAGAGAGCTCGATCAAAAGTGGAACAGCCGGGTCTCGAGCCGGTGCCTATATAGGATGCCAGGTAAAGCCGCTGCCTGCGGTGCTGGCGTCCCATATGGGCGCCGGTTCAATCTTGAAAAACACTATTGTTCCCCTTGGGGGTTACACCACACCTCACCGAACCACTCCCAAACTGTTTCCAATTTTTCTAAAGTTAAATAAACAAACTCTACGCTGTGCATATGCCTGTTATCTGGCTCCCTGACTACCTTCCTGATTGGATTCCTAGAAGTTACTGGGCAGAGGGTGTGAAATTTGATTTTTAATAGTTCTTTAAAATTTACAGAAAATCCAAGCACTCGCCATAGGATTCTATTCCCTGGGCGGTCTAGAGAGGTTTCGAACCAGTTGGGCTCCAATTATCCCTAACTTCCGATTCTAAATTCTCAAAGTTTTGGAAATCTCTCGGCCCCTTCCCGCAGAGCGCACCCGGCACCCGCGCCTGCGCACCATCGCCCCGAGGCCGGTCTTCTCCCAGCCCGGAGACCTCGCCACACGCCCTCCGGGTACCACCTCTTTAAATTTTAAAATGAAGGCTCGAGCCAATCCGTGTTAAGTTTGCCCGCCCGGAACACAGATCCAGCCCGCGGCCACGCCCTCGACCAATCAAACGGAGGCTTCTCGCTACCGCCCTTCCAATAGGCTTCAACGATGGAAGTCTTCACGTAACTTACGTAAGGCAGACAGCCAATAGCAAGCGGCCTTGGGAATTAGCTCCGCCAATAGCAGCAATTCCTGGAGAGCGCGGGAACCTTTAGACTGGGGCTCCTCTGGGAAGCCGGGGATGCCGCAGTATAGCTGAAGCGGCACCCAGGAAGGAGCGACGCGGCCCGGGCCGGAGCCCCGGCGCGGCCGACATGGCCTGCTGCCACAAAGTAATGCTGCTGCTAGACACCGCGGGCGGAGCCGAGCGCCACAGCCGGGTCCGGCGGGCCGCCCTGCGCCTCCTCACCTACCTGAGCTGCCGGTTCGGCCTGGCCAGGGTCCACTGGGCCTTCAAGTTCTTTGACTCGCAGGGAGCGCGCAGCCGGCCCTCCCGCGGGTGCGACTTCCGCGAGCTGGGGGTCCGCTCCTGGGAGGACTTTGAGGAGGAGCTGGAGGCCCGGCTCGGCGAGCGCGCCCCCGGCGCCCACCTGCCGGGCCCGGCGCCCAGGGCCAGCCTCACGCACAGCGCGCTGCTGGAGACGCTGCTGGACTACCAGTGGGACCGGCCGGAGATCACGTCGCCCACGAAGCCGGTGCTGCGCAGCAGCGGGAGGAGGCTGCTGGACGTGGAGGGCGAGACCCGTGAGGCCGAGGCCGCGCCGGGGGGCTGCGTGAACGCCGTCTTCCTGCTGGCCCCCTGCCCGCATTCGCGCAGGGAGCTGCTGCAGTTCGTGTCCGGGTGCGAGGCCCAGGTCCAGCGCCAGCCGCCCACGCCTAAGCAGGTGACGGAGAAGCTGCTGCCCAAGAGAGTCCAGGAGATCCTGATCGCCCGAAAAATCCGCCTGTACTGGGTGGACACGACCGAGGCGTCCAAGGTACGGGGGTGGTGGTCTCGCTGCGAACGGGGGAGGGGGGGGCGCCGGATGGGGCTAAGGCGACTGTGCGTCCCTTCCGAAGGAAGTCCCGGGGGCGCCAGCGATCGGGGACAGTTTTCACAACAAAGTGGGCCGGCGATCCGATGAGGGCACTTCCAAAAAAAAGGAAACAAAAGGTAAGTTTATTTTGATGCAAAAAGAATTGAAATCCACGCTTTGAGGGATCTTCAGAAAGTTCGTGGAAAATTCATATTTTGAAAATATGCTGTGGATTTCAAACTTTTTGAGTGGCAAACAGATAAGGTTAACGGATTAAATATCCAGGCAATTAGGTGATAGGATTTCCAATCGTGCCCCGAAGCAAATAAGGCTGGGTGTGAAAATTATTTCTGAAGAAAATAAAGCTGTTTGAAGGAAAGGGGGAAGGAGAATGAGTGAACTGTATGTAGAGCGCTGGTCAGGAAAGGCCTTTTTAGGCAGGGAATCGAATAGTTGGTGGAGGAAGAATGTGAAGTCGGCAAAGAACGTTCTGGGCAAAGAGAAGAGCGGGTGTAAGGCTTTGAGCTGAAAGGGAGTGTGGTGTTTCAGAAACAAAAAAAGCCCAATGTGCCGAGACCTTAAGGCCAGGGGCAAAAAGTCCAAGAGGAGGTTAGAAAGTAGGAGAGGCCAACCCGCAGGGCCGAGGCGGTGAGGATAGTTTTGTTGTCATCACTGGAAAGTGGTTTGGCAGGCTGTTCAGCCTGATGAAGGATGTGATTCCACTTATTGGAAATAAGGTGTCACTATACAAAGTGTGTGCTATAGGTATCATTAAAGGAGTAGGTTACAAGACAAGATGGGGAAATAAGCCTGTACTTAAATAATGATACAGTGTTAACATTTCCAATAATGTTTCCCGTACAAAGCCCCAAAATGACAGCATCTCAAAAGAAGGTAGTGGTAGCTTGTCAAAGAAAGGACAAAAGTTGAGGGGATGGTAAACACTTGATAGGGAAAATAGAAATCCTAGAAATTAACACGTGCTAAGGCCTAATCGAATGTTGCACACAGTACAAAACACCTAAATGCTTGATTTGGGGTAATTCCTAATAAATCACATCAAAGTCTATGGGGGCCGGCACTGTGATGCAGCGGGTGAAGCCCCGGCCTGCGGAGCTGACATCCCATATGGGTGCCTGTTCGCCAGTGCCGGCTTCTCCACTTCCAATCCAGCTCCCTGCTAATGCTCCTGAGAAAGCACGGGAGGATGGACCAAGTCCTTGAGTCTTTGCACCCACATGGGAGACCCAGAACCTCCTAGCTCCTGGCTCCAGCCTAACCCAGCCCTGGCTGTTGCGGCCATTTGGGGAATGAACCAGTGGGTGAAAGATCTTTCTGTCTCTCTCTCTCTCTCTTTCTCTCTTTCTAACTCTGCCTTTCAAATAATAATAATAATAAAAAAGACTTTATTAAGGGATTGTATTGTATCAAATACCAGTAAGAAATAAGTCTTAGCAGATGGGGGCTTGGAGATTCTTTTTCCTTTTGGAATAGCATTAAAATAGCCAGGTAGGGGTGGGCTTTGTGGGGCTTTGTGTGCTGCATGAGCTACCCGCATTCCATATTAGAGTGCTGGTTCCAGTCCCAGCTGCTCTGCTTTCTTTCACAGCTTCCTGCTAATGGACACCCTGGGAGGCATTAGATAATGGCCCAAGTACTTGGTTTCCTGTCACTCACTTGGGAGATCCAGAAGGAGTTCTTGGCTTCTGCTTGTCCCTGCCCTGGCTGTTGCAGGCATCTAGGGAATGAACCAGCAGATGGGAGATCTCTGTCTCTCCTCGCTGTCATTTTGGCTTATAAATAAGAAGGTGATTGGATCTTTTTAATAATCACTTCCAGGTCTACTAACTACTGTCTGAGGGATGGGTCTGCTCAGAGATTTCCCTTCCTGCGTCTGCTTTATTGTTTCCTCTAAGAAAATGCCCATCAGATAATCTCAAGTTTTCGTGGAATTGTTTTCTGTTGTTTTCCTATTCAAAAGCCTTTGTCCAGCTCCACTGTCCAGACAGAGACTTAGGCCCTGTCCTTGGAGCACTCAGTCTGGGAAGTAGAACTGGGAGACACATGGACTGAAATCTGAATTCACATTTGCATGGAAGATAAGAACCCCCTGACTCATTTTAATGAAGTTCCACCTTTCATTTGATAAGTAGAGTTGACTTGATTAGTCAAGTTGGGATTTTTCAGGCTTATAATCTAGCTGAAACAATTTTTTTTTGGTAGAAAATCCTAATTGGACCTATGGACTCTGAACTAGCCCACTGTTCTCCCTGATAGCAGTGAATGCAGGCATGGACACATGGGAAACACTAATTGTTTATTATACATTTTCCAGATTGGTATGCGTAACTGAAGCGAAAGTTTCACGATACATTTTTTGTCTTTGATACATACTGTGCTCTAATATTTTCATCAATTTAAAAACAAATGCTGATCATAATCTACTGCTGATCACATCAAATGCTGATCACAACTGAGATTTTAAAAGCACTGTCCAAGGCTGTCCCGGGTTGTTTGATCTACTTTTGCCTTGCTGTGATTGGTGGGCAGTTTCCTGACCCTCTTTGAACTTGAATCTAATGGAAAGTTTCCAATGACCTAGATGACCTTGAAGACCCTAATACCTCACATTCATGTAGTAATTCATAGTTTACAGTTATTTGCCAGCACAATGACATTCTATATATGATCTATATTCTTCATAGTCACATGCTGGCTGAATGTTATATTGTGGCGCTGTTAAATGTTTCATGTTATTGCTGTTTGACTCAGCCCATCCCGTCTTTTAAGATTCTAGAAGGGGTCAGCGCTGTAGTGCAGAGGACTACAACCCTGGCTTGCAGCGCCAGCATCCCATATGGGTGCTGGTTTGAGTCCCAGCTGCTCCACTTCTGATCCAGCTCTTTGCTAATGCTCCTGGGAAAGAAGCGGAGGATGACCCAGGTCTTTGGGGCCCTGCAGCCATGTGGGAGACTCAGGAAGCTCCTGGCTTTGGGCCAACTCACCTCTGGCTGTTGTGGCCATTTGGGGAGATCTTTCTTTCTCTCTTTACCTTTCTCTATAACTCTTTCATGTAAATAAAATTAAAAAAAATTTTTTTTAAAAATTGATTAACTGTGAGAGGTAAACATTTGAAAAAAAAGATTCTGTGTGTCACATGGAAGTTGCTCAACAGCAGTTGGTTGAAGCAAGGTTGACTGAGGAGTTGGTTATGTGTGAAGCAGTGAGGGCTTGTAGGAAGTAGGATTGGAGCTACAGAAGTATAATGAGCATTCAGCCGGTAGAGAGGGAAGGGGAGCACAGAAATGTGAGTAGAAACAGCAAAAGCATGGCAGTATTATGAAGTGTGACATACTCAGGAAATAGCAAATGGTTCAGTGTGCCTAGAAGGTTGAGATGGGTGAGCGAGATAGAAGATAATGTGTTTAGAGGTTGAGTTGCGAAAGGTTTATGGTTATGCTGAAGAGTCACTTCTGTCCTGGAGGCACACGGCCTTGGAGATGAGAGGTTCCAGTTAAAGCAGAGAAGATGGAACAGGGAAGACCTGTCTGGTTCCTGAGCAGAGCTGAGATGGCAAGTCACCATCTAGAGAGGTGCTCCTGCCTTACTGCTGTGGCACCTGCTTGTCATTGTGTTAACTTGCACAGCACAGACTCACGTGGGCTAATGTGTAATGGTTTTATGTACCTTCTGATGGGCATTTCATGATTTTTAACTAGTGATTTGCATCACTTCTGTTCATTGATAAAAAATATAAGTAGTATTTTCACTAAACCGATGCTTTCATGAAAGTCTGTTATGTAGTAGTCATTTCTTGCACTGCACAGTAACTGGATGCTGGCCATTATTTGTGTTTGGTTCAGTACATATATTAATTGTGTAATCTGATACTTCCATGTGGTTATCAACTTTCTCCTGATTTCCCTTGTCTTTATTTATTATTTACAGTAACTTAAGGTTGTCATTTTTATTTTAGTTGTGGGAATCCCCAGACCACTTGGGGTACTGGACAGTGTGTGAACTGCTCCACCATGGAGGAGGCGCTGTCTTGCCGTCCGAAACATTCAGCCGGGATTTTCCTAAAGCTGGGGAGACACTGTCAAGTGAGCCTCATCTCTCTCCCTGGATTTCAACTCTGCCGGCAGAGGCCACTTTAAACCGTTTGCTCTATAATTCTCCTGCGTATGAAGCCTCATTTCCACAGATGCAGGGGACATTATTTCTCCCTGTTGAAGGTAAGCAAAAAGTATTTTGAATTGTTATTATTCTTTTCCTATCTTTGTTACATTAATTTCTTCAAGGCAAGTCCATGCTTTTAACTTTTTTTTTTTTTTTTTTAATTTATTTATTTGAAAGGCAGAGTTAGAGAGACAGGGAGAGGGAGAGACAGAGAAATCTTCCACCTGTTGGTTCACTGAGATCTTCTATCTGTTGGTTCAGTCCCCAGATCGCTGCAACAGCTGGGGCTGGGCCAGGCGGAAGCCAGGAGCCAAGAGCTTCTTCCAGGTCTCCCACATGGGTACCAGGGTCCAAGCACTTGGGCCTTCCTTTGTTGCTTTCCCAGGTGCATTAGCAGGGACAATGGGAAGTGGAGCAGCCTGGATTTGAACTAGCACTCATATGGTGCTACCAGCACCATAGGTGACTCAACCTGCTGCGCCACAGCACCAGCTCTGCTTTTAACTTCTTAAGCATTTCCTGCAGCATAAGCATTTAATTAATGTTTGTAGTTAAAAGAAGTCTAGGCAAGATCAGAGGTACCACGGAAAAGGAAGGAACTGTACTCTAGTACAGCTGAAAGCCTGTTTACAGAAAGAACAAGTGCTTGATTTAAAGATGATTTTAACATGTGGGTGGTGAAGATTTCTTTGCCTCAGGAAGAGGTGGATAGATTGAAGACCCTAGAGGAATAGTGACTTAGAGAGGAAATAAGTTAGTCTACAGAAATCAAAAATGACGTTCGAGACTAGGAAAAACCAGTGTTGGAATCTTACTAAATTTACTTTACCACATGATTCAGCATTTGGTGACTCTCTAAGCACATTATATATTCAGAGAAATAACACCATACAGGGATGTATCCATAAATATGTTGTATCCTATATGCAGGTTAAGGAATTCTTGAGGAGTTTTTTTCTTTTAATTATTTTTTGAGAGGCAGAGAGAGAGTGAGAGACAATTAAAGTGACAGAGCACTGCCATCTGCTATTCACAAGAGAGAGAAACTGGGAATACAATCCAGCTGTCCCATGTGGGTGCAGCCATCCCTGCTGCCTCCCAAGGTCCATGTAAGTAGGAAGCTGGAATGGATAGCTTCCTACAGTCTCTAGAATCTAACTTCATAAGGTTTGATACACTATGTTTGATGGGCTTAAGAACTGATATCTTATGGGGCCGGCACTGTGGTACAGCAGGTTAGCACCCTGGCCTGAGGTGCCAGCATCCCATGTGGGTGCCAATTTGAGGCCTGGCTGCTCCACTTCTGATTCAGCTCTCTGCTATGGCCTGGGAAAGCAGTAGAAGATGGCCCAAGTCCTTGGGCCCCTGCACCCATGTGGGAGACCTGGAGGAAGCTCCTGTCTCCTGACTTTGGATCGGCGCAGCTCTGGCCATTGTGGCCAATTGGGAAGTGAACCAGCGGACGGAAGACCTCTCTCTCTCTCTCTGCCTCTCCTCTCTGTGTAGCTCTTTCAAATAAATAATAAAAAAAAGTGATATCTTCTTGTAAGTAGTAAGCTTTGCTTTAATACTTATTTCTAAGTCGTAATTCCTGAAAAGGTCTGACATCACATCTTGCTTTTGCAAATGTTGTTTGTGTATGGTTTTTCCCATAAAACTGGTAGCTTTAGCTGGCATGTTGACAGTAGAATAAGGGCTGAAGTGTGAACTAGGTGACAATTCTAGTACCTCTCCTGACAAACTTTTTTCTCACTAGTGAATGTATTTTTAGTATTTATTGTATTCCTTACAATGGAATTGTAATATACTTCATTTCTAACAGGCCAAGAGAGTCAAGAAACATGGACAGTCACCTTGGAGCCCTTGGCTATGCACCAGAGACATTTTCAAAAACCAGTGAGAATTTTTCTGAAAGGCTCCGTGGCCCAGTGGTCCCTCCCGCCCAGCAGCATTGCAGGCACCGACAGCTGGATGCTGCAGACTCCGGAGGAGCACACGTCGACCCAGAGGCTGTTTCAGCGGCTGGTGAGCAGGCTGGTGGCTGAGGAGCTGCATCTGGTGGGTGTCATCCCTATGTCTGCTTACTGACCTCGGTCACACTGGCAAAGTGAGATAACGTGTTCACTGAGTGCCAGGGAGCACGCTGTGTCCCCGTGTAAAACAGTCTCAGTAAAGCTGATGATGTGTCTGCATTGTGGTGTTCTGTCAATAATACCCATTAGTGAAGAAACCCTTTATAAAATTGCATGAACTCTGGCCAGTTACGTTATAGTCACATAGGGAAAAGGGCAGTCAGCCAAATGGGATAAGTGTATTAAGTAGTAAAATGAGAAAGATTTTTTTGTTATTTTTTAAATGCTTTGTTATTTATTTCTTACTTTTATATAAGAAATTAAAGTTAGATATGATAGCATTACCCAATAGAATTAGAAAATAATTAACACAAATGGAGAAATGTCTCCCAAAAGAAACTTATCTTACTCAAATTTGGTTTAAAGATATGGTGGGTGTGGGCTCATCATTTAAGTTGCCTACATCCTGTATTGGAGTACCTGAGTTTGGATCTTCATTCTGTTTCCCATCTAGCTTCCTGCTAATGCGCAGCCTGGGAAGCAGCAGGTGAGAGATGAAGTACTTGGGTCACTAAAACCCGTGTGGAGACCCAGATTGAATTCCAGGCTCCTGGCTTTGACCTGGCCCAGCCCCAGCTGTTGTAGGCATCTGGGTAGTGAAACAGCAGATGGAGTATTTCTGTCTGTCTCTCTCTGCCTTTCACATAAATTTCTTAAAAATTTATAAAAACATTACTTCCTTTTGTTTTTTTGTTTTTGTTTTTTGACAGGCAGAGCTAGACAGTGAGAGAGAGAGAGAGAGAGAGAGAGAGAAAGGTCTTCCTTCCGTTGGTTCACTCCCCAAATGGCCACAACTGCCGGTGCTGCACTGATCTGAAGCCAGGAGCCAGGTGCTTCTCCTGGTCTCCCATGCGGGTGCAGGGCCCAAGCACTTGGGCCATCCTCCGCTGCCTTCCCGGGCCACAGCAGAGAGCTGGACTGGAAGAGAAGCAAGCGGAACAGAATCTGGCGCCCTGACTGTGACTAGAACCCAGGGTGCCAGTGCCACAGGCGAAGGATTAACCAAGTGAGCCGTGGCGCTGGCTATACTTCCTTTTTAAACTATCAGCAGAGTCTTTACCATTGCCTTTGCCCTTCTAGTCTCAGGAGCCATTGGGAAGCATTCTAAAGAAAAAGGGGGTGGTGATTGAGTAGTTACCACTCTAAGAGTTGTATGCACTGATGGAAAGAGTGCTGGGCTGGGAATCGGGCAGTCTGCATTAAGTCTCAGCTCCTTTGCTCATTGTCTGTTGTGGATAAATTCCTTAGATGATAGTGTTGTCTCGTGGTTAATTGAATGCTTTTTTTTTTTTAATATTAATTTATTTGAAAGGCATAGTGACAGAGGGAAGGAGAGAGATCTTTTATCTTCTGATTCACTCCATATGTGGCCCCAGTAGCCAGATCTAGGCTAGGCTGAAGACAAGAGCCAAGAACTTCATCCTGGTCTCCCATGGGTAGCAGGGGCCCAAGTGCTTGGGCCATGTTCTGCTGCCTGGTGCTTCAGCAGGAAGCTGAATCAGAAACAGAGCAGCTAGGACTTGGGACTCTGATATGGGATGTCAGCATCACACGCTGTGGCTTAACCTGTACCACAGTCCAGCCGGGTCTACACAGGTTTTGAAGTCAGATGAGCTTGGATTCTCCTCTTACTAAGTGACCTTAAACTGGTTACCTCTTCGTTGAGCCTCAGTCCCTCTATAGACGGGGATGATAATCAGCTGCACCTCCTGGCATTCAGTATAGCAGCCACACCTTCCTGCAAGCTTCGAGTGGGCACACGTGGGGCACGTTCTGCTTTGAGAGACCTGATGGCTCCCACCTTCTCCCTGGAAAGCAGTAAGATGAGAAGACCCCCTCCTCAGGCCTTCGCTGGTAGGCTGGCTGAGGCCCTAGAGCCCAGCTCGGCTGCCCAGAGGAACGGCTCTCATCCCACAGTTGCTGCAAAGCTCTTCTCTCTCCCCATCATGGGCCATACTGAGTCTTAATCCTTTGCACCATTTGCTCGTGGGGTTCTTCTGGGAGAAGACCCGTGTAGGATTCCTTCAAGGCTGGCCTCTTATTTATAAACCCTCCCTACACTGTGTTCCGATAAACTTTTCCACCATGAGGGGAAAAAAGTTTTTTCTTATTTATGAATTGAAAGATTAGGACTATATAATTAATAAATTCTCTTCTACCTCTGATAGCTATCAAGTCTATCTTTTCCTGTTTTCTCTTTATCTTAATAATCATTGAGGAAATGACTCTTTTACTAAGTTGCATTCTTCCTGCATGTTTACAATAATATTCTCAACTAATTCACACTTTTTATGTAGGTTGTTGATGTGGACCCTGGAGAAGGCTGGCCCCCGGTCACCGGAGTTATTTCCCCGCTCTCTGCCAATGCTACAGTTCTCACTGTGTTCCGCACTGAAGAGGCTGTATTTCAAAACCATTTTCTCCAAGCAGCTGTGGCCCAGGGCCCGCAGGATACAGCTTCCCTTTTCCCAGATGTTGTGGATGACGTACTGAATCAGTTTCATGATTCACTGGAAAATCCTGCTCCTTCTGGTAAGCTTCTGAGCCAGCAGCCAGCGTAGCCTGGAGTGGTTTGCAGGCATCTCTTGCATCCGAACTTTCTTAAATAGAAGCCGAATATTTTTTGTTTGTTTGTTTTGTAAAGATTTATTTATTATTTATTTGAAAGGCAAAGTTACAGAGAGAGAGGGGGAGACAGAGACAAAGATCTTCCATCCATTGGTTCACTCCTGCAATGGCCGGGGCTGGGTCAGCCAAAGCCAGGAGCCAGGAGCTTCTTCCAAGTCTCCCATGGGGTGCAGGAACCCAAGCACTTGAGCCATCCTCTGCTGCTTTCTCGGGCACATTAGCAGGCAGCTGGATTGGAAATGTGTTAGTGGAACTTGAACTGGCACCCATATGGGATGCCAATGTCCTCGGCAGTGGCTTAACCTGCTATGCCACAGTGGCGGCCCCGAAACTAATTTTTATACCAAAATAAAGTTATTTTTTCATTCCATTTTCCCATGAACTTTTTGAAATAGCCTTGTGTTTAATAAAGACTGCATATAAGACTGTAGTGATTCTATTTTGCAATCATTGCATTGTTACAAACTATTTAAGCTAGATAGGTTTAGATATAATCAGCTTGATATTTCTTCCATGCATTCATTTATTCAACAGAGTTTTTGAGTGCTCTGCTCTCTACCAGGCACTGTTCTGAGTACTGGGAATATATCAGAGACCAGAACAAAGGCCTCTTCTTATGGAGCCAGCCACCTAATCAGGGGAGACATGACAGTAAACTAAATAAGGCAACCATATAGTATATTTGAAAGAGATAAGTGCTATAGTAATAAAGCAGAGAGAAAGAGTAGGGAGTGTTGGGGTGGAAAGAGTGCAATTTTCAATAGGGTGGTTGGGAAGGCCTTGTTAAGATGATACTGAGGAGCCGGCACTGTGGCATAACACGTAAGGCCACCACCTGCAGTGTTGGCATCCCATTTGGGCGCCGGTTCGAGTCCCAGCTGCACCACTTCCAATCCAGCTCTGTGCTATGGCCCAGGAAAGCAATGGAAGATGGCCCAAGTGCTTGGGCCCTGCATCAGCGTGGGAGACTCAGAGTAAGCTCCTGGCTCCTGGCTTTGGATCAGTGCAGCTCCGGCCATTGGGGATATCTGGGGAGTGAACCAGTGGTTGAAAGACCTCTCTCTGCCTCTGCCTCTCTGTATCTCTGCCTTTCAAGTAAATAAATAAATATTTAAAAACCAAGAAAAGATGATACCGAACAAAGACAGAAGTGATGGGAGAAGTTGCTGGTCAGAGGGACAGCAAGGAAGCCTGTGGCTGAGGCTGGAAGGAACAAGAGTGGGTAGGAGTTGAGGGCAGAGGACACTGTGTAGTCTTCACCGACTGTTGAAAAGACTTTGTCTTTTTCTGCGAGCAGGAAAGGAACCCTTTGGGTGGTTTTCCACAGTGACTTGATCGGACCTTAAGTTTTAGTGGCATTGCTTTGGCTGCTGTGTTGAGAATTGGCTTTGGAGAGGCAAGGAGAGAAACAGAGAGATGACAGATATATTGTAGGAGTCCAGGCAAGAGGTGATGGTAGCAACGCAGAACTTAGAAGTAGTTGGAGTGTTGATATATTTTGAAAGTAAAGCCAACAGGATTTGCTCTTGAATCAAATGTGTGGTGTGAAATATAGGGAATTGAAAGTGACTAGAGATGTTTGGCCTAAGCAACTAGTAGATTGCAGTTGCCTTCTGAGATGGGGAAGGCTGTGGGAGAAGCAGGGGACTGGGAGGGCCAGGATCAGGGGTTTGTTTTGACATGTTAAGTCTGAGTTGTCTGTTAGACATCCAAATGCATTTCTGAGTAGACGTCAGATCCACATGCCTGGAGTGTGGCTGGTCTGCCTGCACTGGAGATGATGGGAGTTGTGAGTGATGTTCAAAGCTCTGAAATAGGGCCAATGAGGTTGTGTGAGTAAAGCCACTGCCTTTAACACCAACATCCCATATGGTTCAAGTCCCGGCTGCTTCACTTCTCATCCAGCTCCCTGCTAATGCACCTGGGAAAGCAGCAGAGGATGGTCCATGTGCTTGGACCCCTGCACCCATGTGGGAGACCCAGAAGAAGCTCCTGGCTTCAGATCAGCCTGGTTCTGGCCGTTGTGGCCATTTAAGGAGTGAACCAGTGGATGGGAGACCTCTCTGTCTCCCACTGTCTGTAACTCTCTCTCAAATAAGTAGATAAAAATCTTTTTTTTTTTTTTTAAGATTTATTTATTTATTTGCAAGTCAGAGTTACACACAGAGAGAAGGAGAGGCAGAGAGAGATAGAGGTCTTCCATCCACTGGTTCACTCCCCAACTGGCTGCAACAGCTGGAGCTGCACTGATCTGAAGCCAGAAGCCAGGAGCTTCTTCCAGTTCTCCCATGTGGGTGCAGGGCCCCAAGACTTGGGCTATCTTCCGCTGCTTTCCCAGACCACAACAGAGAGCTGGATTGGAAGTGGAGTAACCGGAACTTGAAACGGGACCCATATGCACTGCAGGCAGCGGCTTTTTTAAAAAAGGTTTACTTATTTGAAAGGCAGAGTTGGAGACAGAGGGAGAGACAGAGATCTTCATTTGTTGGTTCACTCCCCAAATGGCTGCAACTTCCAGGGCTGGGCCAGATAGAATCCAGGAACTTTATTCAGGATCACTTGGGCCATCTGCTACTTTCCAAGGTGCATTAGCAGGGAGCTGGGTCTGAAGTAGAGCAGCAGGGACTCAAATCAGTGCCCATGTGGGATGCTGGCATTGCAGGCACTGGCTTTACCTTCTGTGTCAACAACGCTGGCCCTGTTAACGCCACTTTTAAGGAATACAGATATAGAGAAACAACTTATTTTAGAGGAGTGTTTCAGAAATCAATTAGGGGATTTGTTGCTGATAACAAGAACAGAAAACCTTCAAACTGTGCTTGTACATTACCAGAAGTATTTTTTTTCATAGGCAACCTAGTCCTGTAGGAGTTGATAGCACACACAAGCACAGGTTGTTTTTAGGATGTTGCTTTGTACATTCTTTGGAGGGAAGCTAGCCGTGTAGGGGAGGCATGAGCACAGGGGTCTATCTGCTGTAGTTGTAATGCCTCCTTCCCTCCGTTCCTCTGTTCCTGCAGCTCCTCCTGTTCCAGAGTGGGCCCAGCAGGAGCTTGGCCGCACCGTTGCCTGGAGTCCCACCATTGTGGAGAATTGGTTTCCTTTCTCAAACACCAGTGGTGCCAGTTCAAATTTGATGGAGTCATTCTGGTAAAACTTTTCTATTTTTCTCTGGATATTGGTTATCAAAATCAATTCTCAATTATCTGCATTTTTAACCACATTCTCTTGGGTATAATCCAATATTAAAAACTAACTTCAAAAATAAAGCACTCATACTTGGTACATATTGTGAGATTGTTAGATAATATGTAAATATATACATGTCAAGATTCTTTCAAATGACCAAAGAAATTTGTCAAATTAAATATAAATTAAATACCCATATTATAGATATCTGAAAATATTTAATACTAAGTGTCAGTTAACATAGGAAATAACAAACTTGCAGCTGAATTTATACTTAGGCTATATTGATAGGCTTAAAATAGTTTTATTAAAGTTAAAAACCACTTACTAAGAATATAATCCAAGTAAATAAGAGTTACCCTCCATTCTCAAGAAAATCAGTTATAAAGAACAGAAATGAATAGAAAACAAAGAATAACATTATCAGCAAAATCAACTTTGAAAAGCAAAATAAAATAATTATAGCAAAATTAAGCTTTTTTTTAAGAAAGAAAAATGACAATATTAGTAATGTAAAAGGTATAACAAAAATTCAAACTATTATTAAGAGGTGAGGTGGAGGTTTAATTTCTGTGTACTGATAGCCAGTTGTTCCATTACCATTTGTTAAAGGATGATCCTTTTCCCATTGTGCTACTGTGGCATCTTTATGAAACATCAGTTTACCATCATTTTGCAGATCTATTTCTAGATGGACTAAAGTCTGGAAACTATAAATACCACATGCATTAATATGGCTTTACACCCACATACTGTAGTACCACATACTTTAGCTTTATAGTAAAGTCTTTAAATCAGGTAGTCTTCTCTACTGTTTGATTCAGATTTCTTTGGTCATTCTAGATCTTTTGTATTTCCACAGAGTCAGCTTCTCAGTTTCCACAAAAAAAGCCTGTTGGAATTTTGACTGCGAGTCTGTTGAGTCATAGATAAATTTGGGAAGATCTGATATCTTAGCAATGTTCATGGTACATCTCTCCATTTAATTTCTCTCAGCATTTTGTAGTTTTACTGTACAAATATGGCCCATATTTTAAAAATACATCTATTTTCATGAAGTATTAATACTGACATTTGAAAATAGTACAATTTTCACAGAAAATCTGGAATATTCTACAGGCACATCATTAAACTGATAAGAGACTTCAACAGTGTTGGTGTATACAAAAGTCAGTGTATAAAGTAAATAATATGCCAACAACAATTAGAAATTGTAATCCACATAAATGTATATAATTTATGTTAAATTATTAAGATACCTATGAATAAAGCTTACAAAGGTAGGTAAGAATAAAGGGCCAAGAACAAAACAAGTACATATCCCCTGGTGAGATATGAAGATTTGCCATGAAGTTTTAGTAAATAAGGCAGTGTGGGGCTGTGTGTGATGCAGTGGATTAAACCACCACCTGTGACACAGACATCCAGTATCAGAATGCTGGTTCAATTGCTTCTTGGCCTTTTGGCTGAGATCAAGTAGCAGAATGCTGGTTCGACTCCCAGCTGCTCGCTTCTGATATGACTCCTAGCTAATGCACCTGGGAAGGCAGCCAAAGATGGTCCAAGGACTTAGGCCCCTGCCACTCATGTGGGAGACCAGGATGGAGTTCTGGTTCCTGACTTTGGCCTGGCCCAGACCTGTCTATTGCTTCCATTTGGGGAGTGAGCCAATAGATGGAAGATTTCTTCATCTCACTCTCTGTTTCTGTCTCTCACTTTTTTAAATACACACACAAACACATAAATTTGTCTAAAAATATAATAAGGCAGTGTGGTATTGGTGCAAGGATTGACCAGTAGTAGAGCCCAGAAAGTGGCCCACACATGTATGGCAACTTGGTATATGACAAAGGTCACATCATAAATCAGCAGGGAAAGAATAGATTTAGCTGGGGCAGATGTTTGGTGCAATGACTGGGACATCTGACTCCTATATCAGAGTACCTGTGTTTGAGTTCCAGCTCTGCTTTTGATGCTAACTGATTGCTAATGCTCACCCTGGGATGTGGCAGGGGATGGCTTTAAAGTAGTGGCCCTTTACTTAAAAAAAAATTGAGTTTACTGTATAGTGATAATGATTGGCTATTTACAAGAAAAAAAGACAAAAATTAAATTTTTACCTCACAGAATATACAAAGGTACTTCAAAAACTTCATGGAAAATGGGACTAAAAGGAGTTGATTTTGGTATAAAAAATCTTTAAGTATTCCCATAGGTTTTTTTAATAATATGCATTTCCATGAGCTTTTTGAAGACTATGCATATATATGGACTTCAATTTTTGCACAAAAATAAAACTTATCTTTTAATTCCATTTTTCCACACTTTTTGAAGTTATCTCTTAAAGTAAGCTTCTAATAGATCAGTAGACCAAATGTGAGAAGCAAATGTTGAAATTTTTAGAAGAAAAAAAAAAACTAGGAGAATATCAAGGTAAGGATGAAATTCTTATTCAAGACATAAAAAATTCAAACCATAAAGGAAAACACTGGAAGTTTTACAATAATTATTTTTAAAAGTTTCTGTATTAAAGTACAAAGGCAGGGGGCCGCCACTGCAGCATAGTGGATTAAGCTGCAGTCTGCAGTGCTGACATTCCTATAGGGGTGCTGGTTCGAGTCCCAGCTGCTCCACTTCTGATCCAACCCTCTGCTATGGCCTGGGAAAGCAGTAGAAGATGGCTCAAGTCCTTGGGCCCCTGCACACATGTGGGAGACCCGGAGGAAGCTCCAGGCTCCTGGCTTCACATTGGCCCAGCTCCCACCCTTGTAGCCATTTTGGGAGTGAATCAGCAGGTGGAAGTCTTCTCTCTCTCTCCCTCCCTCCCTCCTTTCCTCCCTCCCTCTCTCCCTTTGCCTCTCTTTAACTGTGCTTTTCAAATAAATAAATCCTACACTTAAGGCAGCTGCAAGCCATATAAACAGCAAAAGATTAGCATCCAGTTACTAAAGAACTCATCATTTATGTAAAATTCATGACATGTTATTGCATTTGTTTGTCTATAATGCTAGAATACTGGGAGGAAGGGATGGGAAAAAATGGGCTAAGGCTTTAGTTGTGTGTGTAATGGGACATTTTGTTAAAAAGTGAAGCAGTATGGCAAACTACTAACAAGTACTTTGTATTTTATCTTGGTGAGAGGTACATGCTTGTCTGTTTCATGTTGCTTTCTGTACTTTTTCTGAGAAGTTCATATTTTTAAATATTAACAGAAAAAAAAAAACCTTCCCCACTGTTGCAGGAAACACTAGCTCTTAGGGAGAATCAGTCTACTACATGTGTGAATCTGACAGCCCCAGCGTGTATTCTGACCTGTGATATCTGTTCACCTCATGTCACCATAACTTTCTCCTGTTTTATAATCAGATGATATCAGATGATAGAAAATATTGAAATACAAACAGCACTTTTTGCATGTTATGCCATTTTCATGATTTCCTTAGTGATTGATATTTATTTATTTAAGTCTAGATGGGGAAAAAAAAGCATTAATCATTTCACTTCCCACACTTCCTCCTCTTGGCAATACACCTTTGTTTATTTCAATGGTAAAGAATTATTCAAGGACTGTTGCAATACCTGTTACACTGTATTACATTGTAATGTATTTTAATGTTTTTTATAAGCTGAGTGAAAAATAACTGTGGAAGCCTCAACTAGAAACTGTTGAGATAATGGTTAGATGTGTCTCCTAATACATGAAGAACCCTGTTGAAAGCCAGTACTGGGTGTGATCTTGTGAACAAGGCAGCTTTGTAAATAATGGCAGTAGGGACATTTTTCTTCCTGAGAAATTACTTTTGGACGCATCTTGTGGGGCAGTCTTTTGATAAGTTTTTAAAAGGATGATAGATTTACTTTTGCTGCTTTGTTGATTTTTTAAAATTCTTGGAAAATTAGAATTTTGGTTTTATGCTGGACATCTTCACTTTCCAGGTTACTACAGGCTGCCTCATGTATTAAGGAAGAGGCTTCTAAAACCGAGAGTGAATTAACCCGGGGCCTCTCGGAGCTCTACCAGAGAAGATCCCGTGAAGAATCCACTGCAACTAATCAAGAGGACAGCAGAAAGAAACGTATGAACATAGAAGGCCTGTCTCTAGACTACTTTGATATCATGTGTTTTAAAAGATTGACATCTGGAGCGACCATTTGGCAAAGTGGTTAAGCTGCCACTTGGCGTGCCTTAATACTTAATATCATAGTACCTGAGTTCAAGTCCCAGCTCTGCTGTCTGTTATAGCTACCTGCAAATGCACCCCCTTGGAGGCAGCAGGTGATGGCTCAAGTATTTGGGGGACCTGAATTGAATTCCTAGCTCCTATCTTCAGCCTTGCCCAGCCCTGGCTGTTGTGGGCATTGAGGAATGAACCAGCAGATCGAAGGCCTCTCTCTCTTTGTTTCTCACTTTCTGTCTGTCTACCTTTCAAATGAAGTGAAAATAAATAAAAATTTAAATAATGGACATTTCCTGGAGTAAGGGTGAAATGGTAACTAAATGAAGAAGGGAAAAATTACTTTAGTTCAATAATGTTAAAAAAAATACATGAGTAAAACACTTTGATTTTTAGTTATAGCAGAAATGTAAGTTAACAACTTTGTATTATACATATTTGTTCATCTGGTGCCTTGCATTTTCAGTTATTCTCATTTATTGCTTAACAAAATTTACAAAATTTTTACTTTGTTGAACATTTAAGTTTTCTGTTTTTTCTTTAAGATTATTTATTTGAAGGGGAGAGAGAAATAAAGAATCAATCTTCCATCCCCTGGTTCACTCCCTAAACAGCTACAACAGCCAGGGCTGGGCCAGGAGGCCAGAGCGTCACCCGGGTCTCCCATTGGGGTGGTAGGGACCCAAGTACTTGGGCTATTCCCCACTGCCCTCCCAGGTGAGTTAGCACAGAGCTGGGTCTAAAGCAGAGCAGCTGGAACTCGATATGAGATGCCAGCACTGCAGGCAGCAACCTATCTCACTGTGACACAATGCTGGCTCCTGGTTTTCTGTTTTTTAATTATAAATAATACAGCCAGTGCCGCGGCTCACTAGGCTAATCCTCCGCCTTGCGACGCCGGCACACCGGGTTCTAGTCCCGGTCGGGGCGCCGGATTCTGTCCCGGTTGCCCCTCTTCCAGGCCAGCTCTCTACTGTGGCCAGGTAAGTGCAGTGGAGGATGGACCAAGTCCTTGGGCCCTGCACCAGCATGGGAGACCAGGATAAGCACCTGGCTCCTGCCATCAGATCAGTGTGGTGCGCTGGCTGCAGCACGCCGGCCATTGGAGGATGAACCAACAGCAAAAGGAAGACCTTTCTCTCTGTCTCTCTCTCTCTCTCTCACTGTCCACTCTGCCTGTCAAAAAAAAAAAATTATAAATAATACCACAGTGTACATCATGTAAAAAACATGATCTTTGACTGATTTTCTAAGGGGAGGTTTCCAGGAACAAGTTACTGTGTCATAGGTTATGAAAACTGGCCCCTGATGCAGATTGCTAGGTTGCCCTTTGGAAAAGTTTCATCCCAGCCTAGTAGGCGATCCCAGAATACATGTTTGGCAATTGCCTTACAGAAAACTCATCACACTGAGATGTTTAATTTCTTTTTTTTTTTTTTTTTAATTTATTTGTTTATTTGAAAGTTGAAGTTACACAGAGAGAGAAGGAGAAAGGTCTTCCATTTGCTGGTTCGCTCCCCAGATGACTACAAAGGCCAGAGCTGAACTGATCCTAAGCCAGGAGATTCTTCCCGGTCTCCCATGTGGGTGCAGAGGCCCAAGGACTAGGGCCATCTACTGCTTTCCCAGGCCATAGCAGAGAGCCAGATGGAAAGTGGAGGAGCCGGGTCTTGAACCAGCGCCCATGTGGGATGCCGGCACTGCAGGCGGCAGCTTTACCTTCTACACTACAGTGCCAGCCCCGCGATGTTTAATTTCTAAAGTTTTTTTAAAGAAAGGCTCTTTTCACCCTGAATAGGGGGGAGAAAACCACCAAATCAGATCATTCTGAAGGGATGTACTTCAATATTCTTTCACAGTAATCTGAATTACAGTAATTCTTGGTTCTGCAGAAGCAACACTGACTGACTTTTCTTCCCCTGATGCCGTTTTTGTAGGCGGTGTCCCCCGCACTCCAGTGAGGCAGAAGATGAATACCATGTGCCGTTCCTTGAAGATGGTGAACGTTGCCAGGCTCAATGTAAAGGCTCAGAAGTTACAGCCGGATGGCAGTCCAGACGTGGCTGGGGAAAAGGGGATCCCAAGGATAGCTGGTGGAAGAGCAGCAGATAAGCTGGAAGACAGAGGGAGGACGTTAAGAAGTTCTAAACCCAAAGGTACTCCTCCAGCCTGTAGCATTCTGATGTCTGCGTTTACTCCTTTATAGTCTGCATGTTTTAAAATAAGCCTTCGTATCACGTCCCTTAATTGATTGCTTGGATATCTGCCTCGTGTCCCAAAGTATGTTACGGCAAATACAATGAAAGCATCCTATCCTTAGATTTCTGATCTAACTGTAGAGACAAAACTGATGAACTATCAGTATCTAGAAGAACCACAAATCTAAAAAAGGAAATACATGCCCATGTGGGAAGTCAAGACCAGACTGGGACCCGGCAGAGGGAAGGTTGAAGGTCAGGGCTCAGATCAAGAGAAGACTTCTAAAACACCGTGGAGGTCAGGCTGCACTTCCAAGAATGAGCAGCAGTCAGAGGGCAGACAGGTAAAAGACGAGTGTTCCATCTGCAGGATCAGCTAAGCGGAGTCCCCAGGAAGAGCCATGGCTTGGCCATAGGACAGTGGTTAAGGAAGTCTTGCTTTTGTGAGTAGAGCGAGAGGGAAAAGGTTCTTGAATGACCTAGGGCTGGGCTTTTTGAAGTCTTACAGAGGTGGGCAGAAGAATTTAGTTGCACTGTTTTTATTTTCCTATTTGCATATTTTTTCCTTTTTTTTTCCCTGGTAAATAGATGGAAGTTAAGTGTGTTTCTTACTGTCAATGTACATTCTTAACTCAGTGATAGTGCTAGTCCTATGGGACGAGCGTGAACATAGCTTGTAAACTCTGGCAATGATTGTATGATGCCACCTTTGAGTTCTTTTGGAAATTCTCGAGTGAAGGTTTCTGCTCGTTTAAAGGTTCTTCTTGGAGCCGGCGCTGTGGTGCAGTGGACTAAGTCTCTACCTGCAGCGCTGGCATCCCATATGGGCACTGGTTCGTGTCCCGGCTGCTCCTCTTCAGATCCAGTTCCCTGCTAACGTTCCTGGGAAAGCAGTGGAGGGTTGCTCAAGTACTTGGGCCCCTGTACCCACATGGAAGACTTGGAAGAGGCTCCTGGCTCTTGGCTTCAGATCAGCCCAGCTCTGGCTATTGCAGCCATTTAGGGAGTGAACCAGGGGATAGAAGACTTTGTTCTCTCTCTTGCTTTTTTTTTTTTTTTTTTTTTTTTTGACAGGCAGAGTGGACAGTGAGAGAGAGAGACAGAGAGAAAGGTCTTCCTTTGCCGTTGGTTCACCCTCCAATGGCCGCCACGGCCAGCGCGCTGTGGCCGGCTCACCGCGCTGATCCGATGCCAGGAGCCAGGAGCCAGGTGCTTTTCCTGGTCTCCCATGGGGTGCAGGGCCCAAGCACCTGGGCCATCCTCCACTGCACTCCCTGGCCATAGCAGAGAGCTGGCCTGGAAGAGGGGCAACCGGGACAGAATCCGGCGCCTCAACCGGGACTAGACCCGGTGTGCCGCGCCGCAAGGTGAAGGATTAGCCTATTGAGCCACGGCGCCGGCCTTTATTTATTTATTTTAAACAGGCAGAGTTAGACAGTGAGAGAGAGAGACAGAGAAAAAGGTCTTCCTTCTGTTGGTTCACCCCCCAAATGGCTGTTACGGCCGGCGCTGCACTGATCTGAAGCCAGGAGCCAGGTGCTTCCTCCTGGTCTCCCATGCGGGTGCAGGGGCCCAAGTACTTGGGCCATCCTCCACTGCCTTCCTGGGCCACAGCAGAGAGCTGGCCTGAAAGAGGGGCAACCGGGACAGAATCCGGCGCCCCAACCGGGACTAGAACCCGGAGTACCAGCGCCACAGGTGGAGGATTAGCCAAGTGAGCCACGGCACCAGCCATGACAAAGCATCCTTAATGAGCTCGTAAAGGTAGGTGAGAATCTGGGTGATTGATAGATACCTACCTGCAAGGGAGAGCAAACACAGCAGTGTTAAAGATCAGACGGTTTTCATGTAACTTCTAAACTAGATCCAGAAATAAACCTAGATAACAGTTGTAAAATGACAGAGGCAGCCCAGTAAGAGGAAGAGGATAATCTTTTCACACAAGTTGCTAGAACAACTGCATATCTATGGAAAAAAATTTGACCTTCCCTCTTATTAGTTATCTGCTTTTTCTCTTTTTTTCATTTCTAACATTGTTTATTTATGACTTATTTTTTCCTCTCTCCATTTTGTTTAGCTTATCTTTTTTGAAAAATGTTTTATTTCATAATTAGCTTTTACTATTTTGGACTGGTTCAGTGAATGTGGTCTGTAACATATTGCTTCTTTAATATTTGCTGCAACCTGGCCTAGTATGTGGTCAAGTTTTAATATTTCATGTGTAGTCGAAAGTAATGTGTATTCTTTAATTGTTGAGCACTTGGTTATTAATGTTTGAATATTCAATATTCTTGGCCATTAAATTTTTCTTTTATCCATTACTGAGATGGTTATATTAGTCTTTCTCCATGTATATTTGTCAGAATTCCCTTGCGATCCTTCTAGTTTTACATCATATCTTTTGAGACTTTCTTGTTAGGTTCATACGAGATCATAATTATTTATATCTTCCTTGCTCTTATGTCTTTTGCAATGAATAATAACCACTTTATTTCTAATAACCTTATACCTTAAGGTTATTAACATTTTCAGTGTCTCTTTGTCATTATGTTTTGGATATATCTTTGTAAAAAGCATACATTTTAAAAAGTCCAGTCTGATAATTTCTTCTTAACTATAGCAGGTTTGTCAGTAAATGTTCACAGTCATGATTACTGACTAGTTCAGGTGTATTACTAATATGTTATTTTGTTGAAAAACTATCTTTTTATCCATTGTATTCTCTTTCCCCCTTTGTCGAAGACCCATTGGCTGTGTTAATGTGGTACTGTAATCTGTTCCATTGACCTGTTTGTTTATTCTTTTGCCGATACCACACTTCCGTAGCTTTATATAAGTCATGACATCTGTCCTCCAACTTTGTTATTCATGTCAATGTTGAGTTAACTTTGCTGGCTGGACCTCTGACTTCTGCATGTAAACTTTAGAATAAGTTTGTGGATCCACAAAGTAACTTCCTGAAAGTCTGATTGGGAGGGCATTGAATCTGTAGATCAAGTTGAGGAGAACTGAGATCGTGACACATTGCGTCTTCTGTGCACGAACATGCAACCTTGTTGTGATTGCTTGTTAGTTCCAGCAGTTGTTGACTCTTGGATTTTCTATGTAGACGACCATGTCATCTGTGAACAAAGACAATTTTATTTCTTCCTACCCTTACATTTTTTACTAATACACTTGATTTGCAAAGCCCTAAACTAATCACCTCTCTCTGCACTTTCTTAGTTTCAACATTGTAGACATTTTGGGCCAGATGCTTCTTTGTGGTGAGGGCTGTCTCACACTGTTGGATGTTTAGCTCCCTGGCCTCTACATAGTCAATACCAGTAACAGCCGCCACTCCTCACCACCAGCTGGGATAATCCAAACGTAGCCAAATTAGCCCTAAGAGGCAGACATCTCCCCTAGTTGACAACCAGTGGCTTAAATTAAATTAAACAAAAGGGCTTGAGCTGGATGTGATAATCAATTTTACCTTTTTTCACAGATTTTAAAACTGAGGATGAACTACTGTCTTACATACATGAAAATTACCAAAAGACTGTGGCCTCAGGAGAAACCACATTGTGTTCGTGTGCTCGGAACATAATCTCCACCATTAAAGTGTTCCTGAAATCAAAAGGCATCAAGGAATTAGAAGTAAGAGTCCAGATGTCGTTGCCTGTTATAGATGCAGTAGTGGTTTGCTTCATACCTGTTGGGGGATGTCTGTTATGCTATGTGTGATGCAGGGATGATAAGATGAGCAAGGGAGTGATTGTAGCTCCAGATCCGAGAAGGTGAACACAATGACTGCTAAGGCAGAGATCAAAGAAGTGGTGTGAGTGCAGACAGTTACATGTCTTTTTCTCCTGTGGAAAGCTGTTTTGCTCATGTGAGTGCCATTGTGTGTGTGTGTGTGTGTGTGTGTGTGTGTGTTTTAATCCCAGCTGTACTTTAAATCTTTTTTAGAATGTTGATACCGGGGGCTGGTGCTGTGGTGCACTAGGTTAACCCTCTGCCTATGCTGCCGGCATCCCATATGGGTGCCAGTTGGAGTCCCGGCTGCTCCTCTTCCAATCCAGCTCTCTGCTATGGCTGGGAAAGCAGTAGAAGATGGCCCAAGTACCTGGACCCCTGCACCTGCATGGCTCTGGCTTCAGATCAGCCCAGTTCCTGCTGTTGCAGGCATTTGGGGAGTAAACCAGCAGATGGAAGACCTTTCTCTCTCTCTCTCTGTAACTCTACCTCTCAAATAAACAAATAAAGCCAGGTTAATGCCTGGCTTCCTCCAGATGAATTGAAACAGATTTTGCGTTGAAACCAGACAGCTATACTTTGAAAAAGCTCCCTAGATCCTTACACACAGGATTCTCTGCACCACTCTTTTAGACCATATTATTATCATTTCTGTTCATGTTTAGTGGTGAAAGCAGAAAAGCAGGGCTCTTTCTGTGTGATGAGCATAAAGAGTCACTACTTTGTGGAATCTTTCTTTAAAAAAAAAAAAAAAAAAGGATTTATCTATTTTTTGAAAGGTGGAGTTACAGAGAGTGGGAGAATCAGAGATTTTCCATCCTCTGCTTTACTCCCCAAACGGCTGCAACAGCCAAGAGCTTCATCTGGCCCACGTGGATGTAGAGGCCCAATTACTTGGCCGTCTTCTGCTGCTTTCCCAGGCACATTAGTAGGAAGCCAGATCAGAAGTAGAGCAGCTAGGACTTGAACCTGCATCCATGTTGGATACTGGTGACACAGGTGGCAGCCTAACCTACTACACCACAAAACAGGCCCCCAGAACCATCCACTTAAGATAGTTTAAATCTACAGACTTGCTGTAACCATGCATATTTGCCCAAAAATACTTTTTTGCAATTTTTTTAAAGATCTAAAAAGAATAATATTTGATTCACTATTCTTCATCCAAATGAAAGAATAGAGAAATTTGTAACATACTTCCCATTTTAAGGAGTTAGTCAAATGTGAAAGAAATTAAAAAATAGCAAGTAGCTTACTATTTGATTAAAATTTTATATTTTCAGGTAACTTGTCTGAATCAAGTAAAAAGTAACTTTTTAAAAACGAGCAAAAGTCTTCGACAGAATCTAGGGAAAAAGCTGGATAAAGAAGACAAAGTCAGAGAGTAAGTTCCTGCATTTTAACTCTTTAAATATTATTCCAAGGGGCCAACGCCGTGGCTCACTTGGTTAATCCTCCACCTACAGTGCCGGCATCCCATATGGGCACCGGGTTCTAGTCCCGGCTGCTCCTCTTCCAGCCCAACTCCCTGCTGTGGCCTGGGAGTGCAGTGGAGGATGGCCCAAGTGCTTGGGCCCTGCACCTGCATGGTATACCAGGAGAAGCACCTGGCTCCTGACTTAGGATCGACACAGCGCCAGCTGTAGCGGCCATTTAGGGGGTGAACCAATGGAAGGAAGACCTTTCTCTCTGTCTCTGTCTCTCTCTCTCTCACTGTCTAACTCTGCTTGTCAAATTTATAAAAATTTAAAAAATAAAGTCCTGAAACAGAGCTCTGAGGTGGTGTGGGTCAGTTTAAAATTGATTGCCCTTTGCTGGTTTTTTGTGATCCTACCTAATGATCGCCTCGGTTATTAGAGAAAACAGTGGTTCTTTTCCTTTTTAGCTCTTCCTTAAATAAATAGATGCATGCTTAAGGAAGGCGCTTTTAGCTAAGTGGCATTCGTAGTAGATAACGACCAAATATTTTCTTCTGCCCAGGTGCCAGCTCCAGGTGTTTCTTCGTTTGGAGCTGTGTGTACAGTGCCCTTCAGTACTTGAAAGTCCTGATGATATGGAGCACACGGTGGAGGAGGCAAGTATACAGCTCAGTGCCGTCGGGAGTGTGGCCTGGATGCCTTGGGCTTCTCTGCAGGGGGCATTCGGTGACTTCTCACCTTTCCGCCAGGTGACAGATTTGCTGCGCATGTTGTGTCTCACTGAGGACTCTGCATACCTGTCCAACTTTCTGGAGGAAATTTTGAAACTGTAAGTTTGTTGGCAACTACCTTTAAAATCGTTTTACTGAATGAGCTACGTGTGCTATCGTCACAGCATTATGGGATTGTCAGGGGTATTTCTAACACTGCGTTGATGGAGGGAGTAGAGCGGGTGAGACGGTACCTCTGTTCCACGTTTCACCCATCTGTCCCGCAGGTACATTGACTCGATCCCAGAGACGCTGGGAAACCTTTACAACAGCCTCGGGTTTATGATTCCTCAGAAGCTGGCTGGCGTCCTGCCTACAGACTTCTTCAGCGATGACTCCATAACACAAGAGAGCAAATCACCACTTCCTTCCGTGCCTCTCCTGCCGAGTTCTCACAGATCAGTGTCGGGCAGCACCGAATCAGACCAGCTGGAAGAGCTGCGCACCAGATCAGCCAAGAAGAGAAGGTGAGTCTGTGTCTGTAACCCTGATCGGAGGGCGCAGAGAGCAAAAGCGGTCAGACCTCCTGTCTCACTACATTTTACAGTGACCTATAGGCCTCTCTAGCACTCTTGGAAACTTAACATTTTTTTTTTTTAATTTATTTGAAAGAACACGGAGCGGGAGAGAAAAAGACAGGTTCCATTCACTGGTTTACTCTCTAAATGGCCACAATGACTAGGACTGGGCCATGCTGAAGCCAGAAGACTGGAACTCCATCCAGGTCTCCCACATGGGTGGCAGGGGCTCAAGCACTCAGGCCATTCTTCACTTCTTTCCCAAGGCACATTAGCAGGAAGCTGGACTGAAAGTAGAGCAGCTGGGACTTGAACCACCGTCGTGTGCAATGCTGACACTGCAGGGGCAGGCCAACCCACTAGGCTGCAGTGCTGGCCCCTGAAACTTTTGTTTTAGACTAGCCAAGACAGCCCCCCGCCTTTTTTTCTTTTTTAAAAATTTTATTTATTTATTTGAAAGGCAGAGTTAGAGAGAGAGAGGTCTTCCCTCTACTAGTTCACTCCCCAGATGGCCTCAACGGCAGGAGCTGGGCTGATCTGAAGCCACTCCTGAGCTTCTTCTGGGTCTCCCACACAGGAGGGGCCCAACCACTTGGGCCATCTTCTGCTTTCCCAGGACATAGCAGAGAGCCGGATCTGAAGAGGAGCAGCTGGGACTCAAACCGGCGCCCATTTGGGATGCCAGGGCTGCAGACAGAGGCTTAGCCCACTATGCCACAGTGCTAGCCCCAACAGCTTCCTTCTTTACCATCACATTTACAGAGGTCTTGGCAATATCAGTGTCAGATAGGTACAGTTGTTAGCTAGAAGAACTAGATACTAATTTTTTCCCCTAAAGATTTATTTATTTGAAGGGCAGAGTTAGTAACAGAGGAAAGACAGAGATCTTCCATCCTCTGGCTCACCCCCCAAATGGCCACAATGACCAGGGTTGGGCCACCTAGAGCCAGGAGCTTCATCTGGGTCTCGCATGGGGGGGCAGGAGCTCGAGCATTTGGGCCATATTGCCCTGCACATCAGCAAGGAGCTGGATCAGAAGTGGAACATTTGGTACTTGAACTGGTGCCCATATGGGTTGCCAGTGCTGTAGCTGGTGGCTTAACCTGCTGTGCTACAGCACCAGCCCCTATATTTTAAGTTTTTAGTGAAATAAATCTGAGTCCTCTGAAAGATTAATATATTAACCCAAGAAGCTCATGGAATCAAGTGAATTATTTGCACTGTTAGTTATAATTCTGACAAAGTCCAGTTGTCTTTGTCCATTGGGTGTATTGAATTAGTAGTTGAATCACAGACGCTAACTGTGGAGTTGCTAACACAGCATCTGACATTCCCTGTGTACTCTAGGGAGTGCGTGACATTTATGTTGTAGTTCACAAAGCCCTTCTTTACCATCCTCATGGGGTCTTTCAGCAACTGGGAAGAAGCCTCTTATTTATGTGCAACTTGTAACTAGTGTGTCTTGACTGTTTCTATTTTTAAAGGAAAAATGCATTAATAAGACATAAAAGCATTGCAGAGGTTTCACAGAATCTTCGACAAATTGAAGTTCCCAAAATGTCCAAGAGAGCTACAAAAAATGTAAGTAATCTCTTGTAGAGGTAAAATGGCACTTGGCAGTTACTCCTTCCAGCTCTAGTTTACACAATAAACAAGAATGAGAAGCAGTTTGTCTACTTTATTTTTTTTTTAAAGATTTATTTATTTATTTGAAAGAATTACACACAGAAGAGAGGCAGAGAGAGAGAGGTCTTCCATCCGCTGGTTCACTCCCCAGCTGACTGTGACGGCTGGAGCTGCAACCATCTGAAGCCAGGAGCCAGGAGCTTCTTCCGGGTCTCCCATGCAGGTGCAGGGGCCCAAGGACTTGGGCCATCTTCTACTGCTTTCCCAGGCCATAGCAGAGAGCTGGATCAGAAGTGGGGCAGCCGGGACTCGAAACCGGCGCCCATGTAGGATTCCAGCACTGCAGGTGGCGGCTATGCCACAGCACCGGCCCTCCTTGTCTGCTTTTAAGAAATAGCAAAAATAGGGGCCAGTGCTGTGGCGCAATGGATTAATGTCCTGGCCTGAAGTGCTGGCATCCCATATGGGCACTGGTTCTACTCCTGGCTGCTCCACTTCCAATCCAGCTCTCTGGTATGACCTGGGAAAGCAGTAGAAGATGGCCCAAGTACTTGGGCCCCTGCACCCATGTGGGAGATCCAGAGGAAGCTCCTGGCTTTGGATTGGTTCAGTTTCAGCCGTTGCGGCCAATTGGGGAGTGAACCAGCGGATGGAAGACCTCTCTCTTTCTCTCTCTCTCTGCTTCTCCTCTCTGTGTATAACTCTGACTCTCAAAAAATAAATAAATCTTAAAAAAAAAAAGAAATAGCAAAAAGAATGCCAGTATTTTTATGAAACTGTATAAAACTCGAATCTGAGGAATAAACAAATATAATTTGTTAGAAGATTAACATTTTATCCAGAAATGTGATAGAGGAAATATGAAGAAAAATGACAATTAAGAATGAGTAAATTAATTCAGAAATCTTTAATGTGAGAAAACTCCCAAAGCAATAACTAAGCAAAGAAGTCACTGAAGTAATATAGTTCAAAAGGACTGTGATTACCTAACAGGAAGTCCTTCTCAGTACTATATGTTTTATTTCAATAACAAGTTTTTAGAAAAAGAAGACCGTCATGAAACCAGGTGGTCACTGGGTTTTCTGTGGAAGAAGATACAGGAACTGAGGGTTGTACTGGTTGCAAAGAAAAAGAAAAATAGCTGAGATCAGTTCACTGAGTATAATTAATGTCCTGCAAAGCAGAGAAGGGAGACTAAAAATGACACACGGGACCTATGTGAGAAGGGTTAAATTCTCTGAGAATCAGCAGGACAAGCATTAACCACCTCCGTAGCAGCTGTGTTTCTAGCTGTTTAGAGCTGCTCTCTGGAGTTGGAGGTGGGATTTCTCTGAGTTAGTGGTGTTCACTTTCTTACTACCCCTTGCCCATGAATAAAATGCACGTTTTGGGTGTTTTGTAATCCTGAATGAAGGATGCAGAATCCAAAAGTGGACAGGAACAGTGGTCAGACCTCCTCTCTCACTGGATTTCATAAGTGACCTGAAGGCCTTTCTAGCACTCTTGCAGACTTGTTTTAGATTGGCCAACACAGTTTTATGATCAGATTTACTGAGATCGGGGTTTAACTTTGGTTAATAAAGAATTTTTTTCCTGTGTCCAAATCAGTGCCATAGATAAGTGCCAGAATTGGAGTGACCAGATGTTAAGTTGTTACAGACTAAGTCTGAGTCTCTGGAGGATCTGTGCAGTTAACTCAGGAAGCAGTGAGATCATAGCATAGGTGTAGACGCTTACGGCTCACTACCTCATGTATATAATTCCTCTGCGCATCTTAACTTCAGAAGAGCACAATGGTCTGCAAAAGATTGGACTGTGCTGCTCCAGTACTTCCAGTATGTACTCAGCTTTTCTTTTGGTGATATGGACTAGCAAGCATTGAGAAACTTTTTCTGTAAAGGACTGGATAGCAAGTGTTAACGTCTTTGTGAGCCATGCAGTATGTGTCACGCCTACTTGGCTCTCCTGTTGCAGGGGAGAGCAGCTAGAGACAACATGTAAACTAAGCGATGTGACTGTGTGTCAGTAATACTTATTTTCAGAAATAAGAGTGGCCCAATTTGCTCTACAAGCTGTAGTTTGCTGATCTCTGTTTTAGGGAATCTGGTGTATGACATATTTTCATAGTTGTAATTTACCTCTTTAAAACAGTTATTGCCGGGCAATATAAATGACTGAGGATTATTACATGACATATCTTAGCAGCAAGACCTTGGTTTTGTATCACTAAGATCAATTAAGTTTCTCTGTATGAAAGTTCTTCAACTATTACAATGGCAAACTGAATACACACACTATTCCCTTGTGTAGGTGTATCGGGAGTTCAGACTCTGCAGTCTTGAACTCTAGTGGCTAGTAGAGAAGAGTTGGATCTAGAGCTGTTCCTAAGTGTATATTCACCCTCTAACTAGTTTATATGACTCTCCACTCTTTTACAGGCAGCATGGGGAATAAAAGATACATGATCATCATTAAAAAGTTAGTCATTAAGTTAAAGTCAGAGTGCTCTTCTCTATCTTTTTTTTTTTTTTTTTTTTTTTTTTTGACAGGCAGAGTGGACAATGAGAGAGAAAGAGACAGAGAGAAAGGTCTTCCTTTGCCATTGGTTCACCCCCCAGTGGCTGCTCCGGTGGCGCTCTGTGGCAGGCACACCGCGCTGATCCGAAGCCAGGAGCCAGGTGCTTCTCCTGGTCTCCCATGGGGTGCAGGGCCCAAGGACTTGGGTCATCCTCCACTGCACTCCCGGGCCACAGCAGAGAGCTGGCCTGGAAGAGAAGCAACCAGGACAGAATCCGGCGCCCCGACTGGGACTAGAATCCCGGGGTGCCGGCGCCGCAGGCGGAGGATTAGCTATTGAGCCGCGGCGCCGGCAGTCTCCATCTATTCTTCAGAAGTAATCCCTTTAGACAGTCTGTTACGTGTATCCAGACCGTGTCCTGTATAGACCAGTAGCAGGACGATTACACACATCTTATCAAACACATATTCAAAAATATTAGGTGATTTTGGGGGCAGCGTTGTAATATAGCTGGTTAATCTGCTGCCTGCAATGCCAGCATCCCATATGGGCACCGGTTCAAGTCCTGGCTGCTCCAATTCCAATCCAGCTCCCTGCTAATGTGCAGGGAAAGCAGTGGAAGTAGGTCCAGGTCTTTGGGCCCCTGTACTCATGGGGGAGACTCAGAAGAAGCTCCTGGTTTCAGCCTGGCCCAGTCCTGACCATTGCAACCATTTGGGAAGTGATCCTGCAAATGGAAAATATCTCTTTCTGTCTCTCCCTCTCTCTAACTCTGCCTTGCAAATAAATAAATCTTTTTTTTAAAAAAATGATTTCATCTACTGTGCTTAGACTTTTTTCCCAGAGGTTTGTTAATTTGAAAGAATGACAGGGAGAAACGGAGAGCTTCCATCCACTGATTCGCTCCCCAAATGACTGATCCAGGCCAAATGCAGGAGCCCAGAACTCCATCTGGGTCTCCCATGCGGTACAGGGGCCCAAGCACTCGGGCCACCTTCCACTGCTTTCCCAGGCCATAGCAGAAAACTGGTCAAAAGTAGAGTAGCCAGGTCTTGAACTGGCATTCAAATGGAATGCCAGATCACAAGTGGAGGCTTAATCCATGCTGGTGGTTCCCTTTCCTTATGTGTGTGTGTGTGTGTGTTTTAAAGATTCATTTATTTGTTTGAAAGAGTCACAGAGAAGGAGAGAGAGAGGTCTTTCATCTGCTGGTTCACTTCCCAAATGGCCACAACGGTTAGAGCTGAACTGATCTGAAGCCAGGAGCCAGGAGCTTCTTCAGGTCTCCCACATGGGTGCAGGGGTGGCTTTACCCGCTACCCCTCAGCACCAGCCCCTTCACCTTTTAATGTCTGCACTAGAGCGATGTATAATTTATTATAGTATAGTAACGACTGTCTATGGGACATAACGTATTTCTGTGTGCTTTACTCTTTGTTTCATGGTTCCCTTTAAGTGGGGGTTTTGTGTGGAATTTTTACTCTGATTTTCAATGCATGCTATTTAAATGTTCCTACTGGATCTTCTCATCTTCCAGGAGAGCACTCGCCCTGCCCTTCAGCAGCCTCCGCCTCCAGGGAAAGATACAGGACAAGGTAGGCTTTGTTTTCCCAGCATGTGCCTGACTCCCAAGAATGACACATTTACTCTTATGACATGCATTTAAGCAACTGAATTCCATTATAAATCATTGGTTAATAAAATATGTCCAAATACCATGCCCTTTGAAAATCAGACATTCATGTTCTTCACATGTTACACTACAAAACAGCCTGAAATCTTTTTTTTTTTTTTTTAATATTTATTTTATTTATTTGAAAGATGGAGTTACAGAGATAAGTAGAGAGAGAGAGGCCTTCCATCCGCTGGTTCACTCCACACACATGGCTGCAACAGCTGGCGCTGAGCAAATCTGAAGCCAGGAGCTCTTTCAGGTCTCCCACATGGGTGCAAGGGCCCAAGGACTTGAACCATCCTCCGTTGCTTTCCCAGGCTCATTAGCAGGGAGCTGGATCGGAAGTGGAGCAGCGGGGACTCGAGCCGGCACCCATATGGGATGCTGGCACTGCAGGCTGGGGCCTTTACCTGCTGCACCACAGCATCTGCTGGTTCACTCAAAATGCATGCAACAGCCAGGCTAAAGCCAGGAGCTGGAAACTCAATCCAAGTCTTTCATGTGAGTAGCAGAGACTAAGTACTTGAGCCATCACCTGGTGCCTTTCAGGATGCAGTCAGCAAAAAGCTGGAGTTGGAGTGGAGCCAGGAGTCAAACCAAGGCACTCTGATATGGAATATGCGTGTCCCAGTGGTGTCTTAACCACGATGCCAAACACCTACAATTCCCAAATGGAACTGTTCTAGGTGAAAGGCTTTCAAGTATGGAACCTGAATGCACTCCAGGGTCCCTATTTGGATCTTAAATTTAGGGGGGAAAACCATAAGAGATATTATTGAAACAAATAGGGAAGTTTAGGAAGGATTGCATGCTAGGTAATATGGTATCAATTTAAAATGTTTTTAAAATTTTTACTTGAGGGAGAATGCTGATCCTCTGGTTCACTCCCCAAACTGTCCACAACAGCCAAGGTAGAGCTAAGCCAGGGCCCTAGCCAGGAACTCAATCCAGGTCTCGTATGTGGGTGAGAGGAACCCAGTTATTTGAGTCATCACCACTGACTCCCAAGTTCTGCGTTGGTGGGAAGCTGGAGTTGAAAATCAAACTTGGCGGGAGCCGGCACTGTGGTGTAGCAGGTAAAGCCACCGCCTGCAAGTCCCGGCATCCCATATGGGCACTGGTTCGAGTGCCGGCTGCTCCACTTCCAGTCCAGCTCTGTTATGGCCTGGGAAAGCAGTAGAAGATGGCTCAAGTCTTTGGGCCCCTGCACCCACGTGGGAAGACCTGGAGGAAGCTCCTGGCTCCTGGCTTCAGATCGGCACAGCTCCAGCGTTTGCGTCCATCTGGGGAGTGAACCAGCAGATGCAGGATCTCCCTCCCGCTCTCTCTTTCTCCTCTTTTGCCTCTCCTTCTCTCTGTGTGTAACTCTGCCTTTCAAAATAAATAAATCTTAAAAAAAAAAAAAGAAAGAAAATAGAACTCAGGTACTTAACTACTAAGCGAAATGCCCACTTACCCAGGAAGTAAGGAGTTGTATTGTCCACAGCTAAATCTCCAGTGTACTGGGAAAAACTGTACATGTGGAGAGAGATGAAGGGAGAAAGCAGATGTTGACAACTGGTGAATTTTTGTGATGTCTATGTGTTTATTTTGTTACTTGCTATTTTCTGTGGGTATTCAACTTTTCAAAATGTTGGGGGATAAAACTGTATAAATACAAATACAACACATCTAGGCAACCTAGATGTGTTGGACATATTCCTGGAAGGATACAAACTACTGAAAACAGATGAGAAGACATAAGAAATCTCAATAAATAGATCTATAACACTTTAAAGGCCTTAATTTGTTTATCAAAAGCTTCCCACAGATACACCAGGACTAGATGGCTTCACTGCTGAATTCTACCCAACATTTAAAAAAGAATGAACATGCTAGCATTCAGTGTGGTCAGTTGATTTGACCAGGAAGAGCCAAAGCAATTCATTAGGAATGAACGATCTTGACCAACCGGTACAGCAATTAAGTCCCCAGTTGGGATTCTCACATTTCATATCAGAGTGCCTGGTTAAGTCCCAGCTATTCTGCTTCGCATTCCACTTCCTGCTAATGCGTACCCTATGAAGCATCAGGTGGTGGCTCAAGTACTTGGGTTCCTGCCACCCACTTGGGAAACCCTTACTGAATTCTGAGCACCTAGCTTTGGCCTTGCCCATCCCCAGCTGTTGCAGGCACTGAGGGAATAAACCAGCAGATGGAAGATGTCTGTCCATCTGGCTTTTTTTTCTTTGCTTTGCAAATGAAAATAAATTTTTAAAACAAACACAATAGTGCAGAGACAATTGGATATCCACATGCAAAAGAATGACATTGGCCCCCTACTTCGTGCAAAAATAAGACACAAAAATCACAATTTTTTGAATTTGTAAGATTAATTTTAGTACCCTATGGGAGAGTACTATTTAAGGAAAGCTTAGTAGTAAATGTGAATATAACCTCTCTTTGGATAACAGCTCTCTGTATTATTGTTGGTAATATTTGGTTATTTCTTGGGGGTATGTGTGTTTATGTGTTTGTGTATATTTCCAGAAGTGACCAAAGTTCGGAGAAATCTCTTCAACCAAGAAGTACTATCTCCCTCAAAAAGATCTCTTAAGCGGGGGTTGCCCAGAAGCCATTCTGTGTCAGCTGTCGAAGGTCTGGAGTATAAACTGGACAGAAAGACCAGAGGTACCGTGTTTCCGTTCATCAGCGAGGAGGGGCTCTTTCTGTCTTGGCTGAGTGATTTGAGTCTTCTTCGGGTTTCTCAGTTTTGTTCATCCTTTCAGTGGACTCTCTTTTGGTTTCATTGGATTTTCTCCGTTGTTTATTAATCTTGATTTCCTTCCCTCTACTTGCCATGATTTTTAGCTTGTACTTCTAGTTTCTAGGTGAAGGTTAAGTTATCGATTTGAGATCTTTCTTTGTTAATACAGATGTTAACAGCAACAAATCCCCCTCCAAGCACTGCCTTAGCTGTGTCCTTTAAGTTGTGGTGTTTGTGTTCTCTTCATTTTCATTCCAGAATATTTTCTGACATTCTTTGTGATTTCTTCTCTGACCCACTGATTATTTAGTAGTGCATTAGTTTCCATGTATTTGAGTTTTCCACATTCTCTTCTGTTAATTGATTTCTGGTTTCAGTCTTTTCAAATTTTTTTTTAAAGATTTATTTATTTTTATTTGAAAGTCAGAATTACACATAGAGAGGAGACGCAGAGGAGAGAGGTCTTACATCCGATGGTTCACTCTCCAATTGGCTGCAGTGGCCGGAGCAGCACCGATCTGAAGCCAGGAGCCAGGAGCTTCTTCTGGGTGTCCCACATGGGTGCACGGGCCCGAGGAGTTGGGCCATCTTCTACTGCTTTCCCAGGCCATAGCAGAGAGCTGGATGGGAAATGGAGCAGTGGGACT